AATCGATTAGCGAATGGAATTAGTCATTCGATATGGGGACTCTTTTCAGCGCCGATCGCAAAATAGTTCTAGCAATAAGTACGCGATTCTCTAACAGGTAGAGAAGAAAGGGGAATGGTTGCGTGGAAAGAGGAGAAAGAAAGACAGGATAAAGTGTTCGTTCTATATGAATTTCAATGGGACGATGGACCTAACGCAATCAACAACACCGAACCAAACATCCCTTTGCATTTATTTTTGACGTTTCGCTTATCCGTATAATTGGCGTTCATTACGAAACGAAATAACGGTTGATAAACATCGTGATAACATCCGTTACGATCATAAAGAATATCTTACTGATAATTATACTCTAAAAATTATACTAAGTCGTAGCAAAATGCGCTGGTATAGCGAGGGGAAAAACTCAAACGTTGCTCGTGCAAAAATAACGGGTTCCAAGAGGTCGTACGGCATACGATCAGAAGAAGAACGACGAAATAAAGTGGAAGCTTTCACGAAACGCGACGATAATTAAGGCGGCCCTGCCGACCTCGAAAGTACTTCTCGGCCCCTGGCTACTACGCCATACAGGCGAGTCTGTTATTCTCTTTCTCCCTCGTTCTCTTCGTTACCCTCCTCCACCCCTGTGGACTGAAACTCTCCTGCTTGCCGCCTTTCCTCCTTCCACGTCGTGTACCATCGTTTCTCCTCGCCTTCACCACCTCCCACATTCACCCACCCCAGCGCTACGCCCGACCTAAGGGTTGAAACCACCCTCCATTTCCAGTGGCAGCCAAGGCAGAGGCAAGCAGACTCTGCCTGGCAGACTGGCAGGCTGGCAGGGGATGTGCACGTCACCGTCTTACACTATCGTCCCGAACAAACACCACGTTTCCAACCCCGCGCCTGCCAACCACCCTCCTGGCTCAACTCCGTACCGTCATCTCCAACCTCCTTTCCGCCAACCCCATCCCTCGTCCTCCATCTGCGCTCCACGGTGGCCCAACCTTCGAGCATCCTTGCAAGCTCGAGGTTCTACGTACGCGTCACGGGACGCGTAGGTCGTCTCTGGGACGATCTACCGACTCTTCCGGGGTGGGCGGACCGGGAAGAGAAAATAAGGAAGAAGAGGAAGAAGCACCGACACCGACAACGCCACCGGCGGCCGAAAGAAAAGAGGAGGAGGTCGAGAGAGAGGAGAACGGTACGCGCCAGTGGTAGGAGGTACGTTTCACGTGGCAGAGTTCAAACGCGAAGAAGAATCTCGAGGTACCTCGAGGATAAGGGATGTTTCCGGCGCTCGAGTAAGATCGCTAAGGGAACTCTGAAACGGTGCTACTTCCCGCCCTCTCTCTTTCCTTTTCCCTTTCCATTCCTCCTTCTCTCTTTCTCTCTGTCTTTCACCCTCGCCATCTCTGCAGCCACCTCGTTTGCCCTCTGCACATCCTCCTCTCCTACGCGTATCGATTCTTACATAAGGGATGTTTTCTCGGAGGTGGATCGTCGTTCCGCGTAGGATCGGAGGGACAGGATCCCTGAGACGAGGGCAGAGGGAAAGAGAGAAGATCCGGCTGACCTAGGCAGAATGTGATTCGGGAAAAAACCGGTGCCTTGTTCCACCTTGAAGAAATGTCCGCTGAATGGCCACAGAAGAGAGAATCGCTGTTTTTCGGCGAGCTCGACGAACCTGGCGATTTCCGGGGATTTAAGGAGATCGAACGTACCCGTAGAAAAGACTCGTTTATAAAAGAAATGGAAATGTCAGCTGATAGGACATGGCATTCAATTGGTCTTCTAAGCAACGTCCGATTCCTTTCGAAATAAAAGTACTGATATGCTTTTTAACTTTTCTACGCGTTATCTGGATCGGATAACACGGATCTTGACATTATAGTACAACATTTACTAATAACTTGTTTACTCGCTTGTTCCTGTAAACCGGTTCTTTTTAGAAAGAAGTAAAAATTTAACGAAAAGATAAGATAGCAAGCTACAAACACGGAGCTATCGATTGAAAGTATTTACGATCGGAACCTACGGTATAACCCATTACCTAAATCGTTCTATCGGTAGTTGCTGGAAATTATTACGATTCATTAAGTGAAACAAGAAATAATTAAGCTTAAGATACCAGGAAACTCAAACGTAACGTAAAATTCGATTTCACACCCGATAAGTGTAGTACCGCATTAGCAGTATATAACGAATTTAAAACGAGAGATCATCGCGATTCCCGTTATTCCCTGTACGAAATATTTTCTGTAGGAATGTGGCAAACACAAGACCAACGGTATTCGTGCGATATAATTAAATTAACCAGCGATCGGTCGACGCCCCACTAAAATCCAAGTCAAACGGGTTCACCTAATTTGCGTCACCCATCGCGGCGTACCGACCCTCTCAGAAATATTAGGTCCACGTATGACAAAGCACGACCCCTCATGTACGATCAAATCAGTTGATCTTCTAGCAACGTGCGTCACCGAATGGTCGAAAAGCCGCATGCCGACAATAAGTAGGGTGATTTTAATTCCCTTCCATCAGCCATCCCGTCCCAAGTTCATGAATACGCTTAACGATGTACGGGGTGAGCCTCCTAACGTTCTCGGTCTAAAATGTTTCTCCTCGTCATAACGATAAAATGAAGTTATTCCAAGGAATATAGTATGATTCTCGGACAGTTAAGTAAAATGAGTATGGCTTCAAACTGTAGATAGACATTTTTCCCGCTTTGAAATATTCTTAAATCATGTATTTTCAAGATTTTCGAAATTCTAGTATGATTTATAGCGCTAAAGAAAATCTTATTGCGAAAATGTTGAAATGCGGTACGCAAAAGTTGTTAAACTCCTAACGTTAATATTAAACCCAAAACACATTGCTTCGTCTAATAATTAATAACCTATTAACAAGATACCAAGAAGGTTTGCCGGTTTAATTAAATGCCCCATCAACACATTCACGCTCGAAATTTCCAACAAAACAACGGCCAGAATAAACCTCTCGACATTTACTTTTCCGAACAGACTAAAGTTGTCCGCGCCTCGTACACGGAAACAAGAGAAGATCCGGGGGTTGGTATGGGACACGGGAGAAAGGAACGAGCTACCCTCGTGCCATTTGCCACCTTGTTCCTCGTATTTATGCTAGCACAGAGATCCGGCGTGTTTGCACGAGCTTTAAATCCTCTCTCACCCCCGTGTATCCGCATCCTCGCGGAACACTTACACCTTCGACCTACGGCTTTTCACCTACGGAGCCACGGGGATAACGCATACACGCACTGCATGATCGCTGTGATTTACCGACGAGAAGTTCACGCGTAGAGACTCGCTCCAGGCATTGGAAGTTAATTGCGTGGAAATTAATTGAGATCGTCGCGGAAACCGCTAGTCACTAAATTTTGTAGGAGCACGTACTTGCGAGCGATCGAGCCGTGTGATCGGAGCATATGCAGCTACGTCGATAGCAATTACGAGGACATTCGCTTCTTTCTTTTTATCCTTCTTACAGGCTTGTAAACTAGCCGTAATTTACGTAGCGGTACGTGTCTTACAAGACGGGAAGAATTATGACTTTGAACGATCCGTTTCTGATTTCTACGTAGTACCAGGCAACATAAATTGGTAAGTCAACTGACATTATGAAATATGTAATAAGAACATAAAATTGATTTAATAAGGACAAAATATTTTGTAGTTTAACATGAAAAGGAAGTTGTTTGAAGTATCGAAAGACGTCACTAGGTAATTAATTGGATGATTTATCGTTTAACCTTTTATAAAATTAAAATACGTAGATGCAACTTATTTTTATATTACGTTCTAATTTTAACATTATAATAACGTAGGAAACTTTTTGGTTAGGTTTACCCAACCAAAAAAAAATGTTATATGATACTTGTTAATAAGCATTGTATCATTGCTATATACACATATAAAATTATCAGGTATAAAAGTTATTGCGTATGTGTGTAAAATTAATACGAAGATATATTCCAATCATTTTCTCCCTTACCTTTTTACACGTTGAATTTTTCCCAAAAATCCATAAAAGAGGGTTATCAGGCGTCGGATATAAATGGTAGTTATAGATTTTGAAGTGTCAGTTTTACATTGTACACCACACACTGCTACTACACTACTGCAATAAATTTATGAAATCCGTTATAAAATTCCAACTAATCAAAAATTAATTTATACACAAATAATGAAAGTACTATCTCCAAAAACTCGCGAACGTACGGATTCAAATATCGATTCTCTGCGCGATGTATCACTCATCGATACGATCACAGCGCCACAAGTGTCAAAACGCAGTATCGTCTTTTATTCTGCGACAGGTGCATCGTATATGTGATTAGTCATTATATTTTTTGTGAAACAATTAATAGTATAAGACTAAAATCGGAGAATTCAATAGCGTAATAATGCAGTGCGTAAGTGTAAATAGTGCAGAGCAATTAACAATGAAATTATGGGACGGGATATTAAATATAACAAATTTTTTCAAAAATCTCAACGACGAGACTATTGCATTGTTCTTTGTAGTGATGCAGCCATATTAAATAATGCTATACTAACGTACATTTGAGTGGCTGCATCTGTTAATTCAAATATTTAAAGCCACTTCATTAAGAAAACCATATACATTATTCTGTACTTATTAGTGTTAAAGTAACTGAGATGTTTGCACAGAATTATTCTATTAGTGACATAAATTACGAAATCGTGTGACAAGAAAAGGAATTACATGTCACAGCTACCCTTCGTTTCGTGTGTTCTACAATACGTATATATATTCATCTATTATACATATACCTATATGTTTATTCGTGCGTTTTGACATTTATGGTATTGCTATAATTATTATCTTCTCTAGAACATTCTTTACGTTATTCAATATTTTTGTTGGTTGAAATTATTAAAAGCAGTATGAATAAATTAATACACCATAGGTCAAGTAAAATATATATCAAAAATATACCTTCATTTCATTCTCTATATTCCTCGTTGAATTTTATTTGGTCAATTTCTCTTCTAATATGCCCATAATTTCGAACTCACTCATTTATTTTTATCTTTCGTACTGTTCACTGTTTGAAAACATTTCTCTTAAAGCGTTTTAAAGAATTTACCGATTCGTATTCGGATACGCTTGACTTAACGCCGAGCAAAACATTCCCACCACTGTTTCGCATGACGAAACGTAATATGTAGAACCATTCAGTTGTCGAAAGTCGTAGCGGTGAGATGTATCAATTCGCGTCGCGAAACCTATTAACTGCGTAATAATTTGTTCCATCACTAGTCTGCTGCCTTTATACACTACTATTAGGTTTGTTTAATTATCACACATTCACTTACTCGTTTACTAAACACTATTATAATAAAATTATATAACTTTTTCCATTTTTGTTTGTTCTTTCTTTTTTGACGTATATTTGACTGTTAATCTCACCGATAGCTTGTATTATTTGCTTTTGAAATAGGTTTTTGAGTTTGTTTATCGTTTCGTTTTAATTCATAAATGATTAAGAATGTTTCATTTATTATAACGAAAGTACTCTTATATATATATATGATTCTACTACCTTTTCTTAGACTATTTGTTGAAATTAAAAAAGATTTTAATATATTAACTTTAATAAATTAGAATATATCGAATTACTTTTTTATCCCAATTAAACTAAACGAATTATTTTATTGTTTCAATTCATTATTCTGAAATAGATCTCTGAATAGTAATAGTAGGTTATGAATAATATCTTGCTGTACTTCCCGCGCGAATTCTCTATAGTAGCGTCATCTCCTGACTTTTTTCAATAACTTTTATTATTTCTATAATGCGACGCCATTACAAACATGTTTAACTTTTGACGCGTTATATTATCGTGCTTTTCAAGTAAGTTTAACCGACCAACTTTTATTTGTTACAAAAGTTTTGTTAAAAAATTAGTTACATCGTATTTACAGTATTTTTAAATATTTGAGATATTTTCTAATATTCATATTTATCTTAAGGACATATCCCATTTGTCCCAGACGTATTCCATTTTCGTAATATTGGTTATGATACTTTGAAATAATATATGTAAATAACAATCATTTCTCTTTACAAAAGCTAATATGAATACAGTAAAATATGAAAATAAAATATAGTATTCTTTTTTCTACTAATACAGCTTTTTTTTTTAGTAAATGTTTGTGATCGTGACCGCGCGCAATGCGGTCTGTATAATCTAATTATAATAATCATACGTGAAATTAGAGTCAGTGTTTGTTCGCCGATTATTACATAAACGAGCATGTAGTCTTTTATTTTTCGTTTTTTGTATATACATTTTTTAAATTCACATTTTCGGCATTAGAGTCAGTGCTCAACAGGATACAGCCTCTCCACAACCTTAACAATGTAAGTACTTTTTATATTGTAGCCCAATTTACTTTATTATTATTATTAAAGTTTCTATTGAACTAAAATCTCAAAGATTAATATAAAATTATGAGACGAATGCAAACGTGTTTCATGGAACCATTAGTTCCATTTTTCATTGTCTTAAACTTTTCAAATAAACAACACTGTATGTTTTTGAGAATAAATTGTAATATTTTATAATTTGTTAAAGGTTTTCCACCACCTCGGCTTCTCGCTGTTCTCTGAATCTGATGGTGCTTTAAAAACAAATAATGTAAGTATCTTTGCATATTGTATTTCAATTAATTCTATTCCTTGTATTTCTTTTTATTTCAAGTAACTAACTTAAAGTCTCAATATTGGATTATGAAACGAAGATACATAACTATGCTTCAGAAGTTATTAGTTTTAACTTTTAGATTTCAAACTATTATATTAGAGATTATTATTGGAATTTCAATCCTTATTTTCATTATCAAAGTTTTATGTTTAATAAAGATCATTCTTTCATTTTTTTTAATTTCTAAATGCTAAACTCTATCTTTATGAACAAATTATAATATCATACGTTCTGTTAAAGGTTTTTTACGGTCTTCATTTCCACCATGAAGTCCGATAATTCTTCCTCGATGACCTCTGTTACGACCGTTTCTGGGCTATTGCAGCATCGATGACGATGACGAATTTCTCCGCATTGTGAGTCGCATATTTTTTTATCCCTTCATTCACTCAATCATGTCATAGGACGAAAGGTCCGAATCAACATGGATAACTGATTGTGTTACGTAGAACTTTCTGCAAGCATAATGATCTTTTATATCTATGAATAGTAATATTTCCTTACTCTGTGTTTTATTTATTGGCTCAAGTAGGATTTTTGCACAACGAGTTTTTTTTTTATATTCGTAACACAACATTGATAATTAACATTTTATGTCGGTAATGTTAATATAATGTTGAATTAGCGTGAATGATATACGCATCAAAATACGATGCTACTAAAGTTCATGCTGCTACTAATTCTTTTTGTACAAGAGATATTAAAGTTTGGATAATATTAAGTTTTATATGCAAGAAGAAATTTCGCGACAGATATCAACAAATTTTGAACACTGCTTTCATATTTTCGAAAATTTGCTTTGATAACACATTCAGCTGAGATAATTTGCGGTACACACGTTTCATGTATACCGCGTCTGTAATATAAATATAACTAAAGCATGGTTAAAAACAATCGATCGTACAGTTATGTAAATGTCAATAGAAAAATTTATCGATATCTGCAAATAGTATTTTAACAGTGATCAATGGCAGCTTTCGACTGCCACTTAACATAGATTGATAGGTCTGAAAAGCAGCAAAACATCTAATAGTGTGTACATATGAAAATAAAAACGCACGAAATTTTGGTAAATAAAAAATATATTCGTTGTTTTTAGGAATAGTTAAAAATTAAAATCTGTTAAAATCTTAGCCCCTTGTACTATCGCAGGAACGAAGTAAAAACTACAAAGATATAAGATTATGCATTCGATCGAATTTTATCTTCGTTTCGGATAAAACATGCCTAAGACATTCTAAAAGCTTTCATTTTTATTTTAATTATCTGATTTATTGGAAACAGCGCTAATCTTCCACTACTGATACATTTATCGAATTACTTCTACTAAATTAGTACTAATAATATAACTAATATAACAATAATAAATAATACTAAACATACAGACAAAATATTAATCGCCGAAATGATAGTACGTAGTCTTTTATCGCATCAAGGGTAGGAAAGATAATTCGAATCCTCTCTCTGATTGTAGCACTCGTTGAAACGAATTGCGACTACCACCCCCTTCACTTGCAACCACTTTAAACCTCGTTCTGCGATCGCTTGTTCTATGGAAAAGGGAAAGAAATTTCTTTCACGAAACTCTCGTTAGTTCGTGACAAGCACCGAGTAGGCGATGCGATATACTCTTAGTATTTGACTCAGCTTTTCCCTATATCCAAGTCATCCTACATATTCGGCTTTTCCACGAAATATCGAGACACGATCGCTGTCACATACAGAAATACCCTCTTCTGGATATTTCCTTGATAAAGTTGACAAATTTACGATTTTTCTTTCATTCCGAAAAAATAGCAGCTCTACTTCTACTTTTGTAGAGTACAAAATTCTAGTTGGGTTCGTGTATTACGAATAGATCAAAAAGTATGACATGAGACTAATCTTATTCGTATCGAAAGCATGACGTCGACATTAAGTTTTTATTTTAGGGAACGTTGATGGTATTTTTCTGCCGTTAAATTTTAAAATAACCAAAGTTTTTGCATCGACACTAATAATAATAGGAACGGACGCGATAGTAGTAATAGTAGTAGCAATAGGACTCGACACGTTTTCGATCGTAAGAAACGACCGAAACTAGGATCGGAAGGCAACCGAGAAACAGGTAGACAAACAAAGAGGTCGTTTGCTTGAAACTGGACAAAAGTTGGCGCGGCACCTGTAAAAGCGCACACTGGGGACAGTCAGTAAAAAGGAGATCGAAGTTCTTCTTCAACGAACCGCCATCTTTAATAATTTCACACTTGAGAAAAATGAACAGTCTATTCATAATCCTTTCCCTTGACGGGGTTCCGTCCTCCCACCGAAAACCCGCCAAAAGCGATCTACAGATCTCCCACCCTCTCTGGATTCTCTCTTTCTGCGTCTCTCTCCGTCGGCCTCGTTTCTTCGTACACCCGTGAAACGCTGCCGGGTGCTCATTCATTTAATTTCAGTCATTGCTGGCAGTCGCACCCCTGTCGTGCGACCGACAAAAAATAATTAGTGAAGCCTTACACCCCTCTGCCAGCCACCCTGACGGCCTCCTCTAGTTCCCACCTCCGTCGCACTCCCCTTGCCGACTATATTCTCCCTCCTACGGTTACGACGACTACGAC